ACTTTATTCAAAGTACAGACTATCGAAATATTAGCAAAAACCGCATAGAAAAATAAGAGGTGAAGTAAATGGAAGTTAGGAAAAGATTCCATTCAACTTAGCTGACGAGTCTGACGGATCATATTTTGAAAGATCCCCTAAAACTCTTGAAACTATAAAGCAACTGTTTCGGCGTTTTCTTCTTCACAGGTTACTTATATACATTACAAAAACAAATACCGTGCAGACATTACGTAACAACTCATTCCTTTTTTTTTCTTTAGAGAGTCTTTAACATCTTTCAATGTGAATTGCTAATCACGGTTACTGATAAAACGTTTTCCTTCTGGTTGCCCACTTTAAAATTTCTAACGTACCTCTCTAAAATTTTTGTAGCAGTCTAAGATAAAAAATTTGTGTATATACATCTAGTTTGTAAAAACTGCAAAATTATCTACCTTGCTCTCCACAGCTAGATCTTTTCTTATGACGCTAATTATTCAGGAACTTCTCTTGAATTTTTCTTGGCATTACCCAAATTTTATGATTGCCTGCATATAGCACAATGAGAACGAATTGGTTTTATGTGAAAAACTTTCTTTTACTCATTCCTCTATGACTTTTTTTTTTGCTTTGTTTATCTAGGTGTTTAGTGCATTTTTCACTTTTAAATTCATTTCGTAGCTTTTCCGCATTCATATTTACTTTTTTCAGAATTTTTATAGTTGGCTGGCTACGTACGTAGTTTGCCAGAACTCAGCTGTGCAGAAAAACCAAATTCAACTGAGTTGGTATTAAAGTCAACAGATTTTTTTTTTGTTCTTATTTTTTGATGTCACTAATTAATTTTTAAAACACGCATCCGTCTGCTATCAAGAGGGTCCAAAAAAAACCATATTCTGGTCAAATAATTTTTATGAGTGCTTCCGAGCAATTACGTACTGTGACCAAATTTATAAGTTGTTCATTTGAACAAACGGTAGCATATTCATACCAATTCATGGTACCAAGCTCTGTCCGTCGGTAACATGAAAGCGGTCCAGTTTTTAACCCGTTGTGAACAAAGTCCAAAAGCTGGTTTTAAATACCAAGAAAAAAAAAAAAAAAAACTAAACTGCAGTCGGGTATAGCAGACAGTAGCACTTCTGTTCAACTGGAGTAGCTGAACGACACTTGTCCTGTAAAAATCGTAATAATTGTTCCCCGTTACTGAAATCAATCGTTAATCGCAAACATTTTCTGTCACACCAATAAAACTTTTATTAATATATGATGCCACGAAAATGCCCTCAACTATAGTCTAATTGCAATATTTCAAACTTCCTGTACATTTCAAAATTGTCATAAAATCCTTGTAATACTATAGCATAAATACAACAGTAACGAAGTATATTCTTCATACTCTGACAAAGCAGTCTCATTTTCTTTCCCTTGATTCTCTTCTGTCCTAATCACTTATTTCCCACTTTCATTTTAAATGACTGCGCATTTAATTTTCCAGACACAAATTTAAAAATTCGTACAACAGGAAGACTAGGCAAATTTGAACAACCCCTTAATTTCACTAATAATCATTCTGCAGAAAAATAAATGCCTTCACTTCAGAGCCATAAAATAGTATTAACACATCTCCAAAAATTCAAAACTTTTCACTACAAACAATTTTTTCTGATGACTAATAATTTATCTGCCAATTTGATATGTGCACCAGCTTTGAAAGTGTGATGATTAAATTTAAAAATGTTGTGACCCTATATCCAACCTATTTTGTCGAAGCGATTAAACATCATAGTAAGATTTTTACAGTGTGAGAGTTCCATGTTGCGTCAAGAAATCTAGGTTTACTACGAAAAAAAAATAATAATAAATAAATGAAAGGCAGAAGGTTTTCAAAGAAGACAGCAGAAGATGGGCACATGAACATGGAATTAGCAAAAGCATTTGTATTCTAAGAGAACCCTATAAATTTCTAGCACTAATTCAGTTGCATTTTTTATTTTCAAAAAGTTCACAATCAACTAAGTTCAAAATGACATATATAGTTTTTAATGATAAGAAAAAGTATTACTCACTGCATTTCGTCAGATACTACTCTTTTTTTACACCCTAAAAACAGAGAATGTCGAAAAACAAAAGGTGGAGAAAATATTTCAATAAAACAACTAAAAATACCCGAAAAGTGGAAATTGCAATACGCTTCAAAAAACCATCATTTTTTTGAAATAAAGACAAAAATAACTGCTTTTGCGTCACTTTGACGTTTTTTCTCTTGGGTTCTTTTGATATTTTTTGACTAATTTTTGTGACTACCTTTTAAGTTGATAGCACTTTGTTTTAACTTTTTGAAAGTATTTCTGCCGTTCCGCATATCTTCGCTCAAGTTCCGGGACTGGTATTTTTAACAGTGAGTCAATTATAAATATACAATTAACTACTTAGAAGATACAGTAAAAATAAGAAATTTGCTTCGTTCAAAAGCAATTCCAAGAAATAAAAGAAGGCTACTACCAAAGTCTAAAGACTTTATCGATAAAAAGATGTAAAAACTATATTTTGATAATATTTCTTTTCATGAACAATTCTTGTAATCAAGAAGCAGAGTTATAAAATATGATAGAACCTAGGAAATTAGACAAAAAAGTCAATTCTTAAAACGGTTCGACGTGCCATCAGGATAGACTTTATTCTAAGTATTAAACAAAGGAGTAAATTTTATTGGCTTCGTAAGCATAATAAGACATTAGGCACCACGAGAAACATATAACAGTAACAAAGTATTGTATGTCAGAAGCGAATCATATATATAGAAAAGCAGGAGCTGCAAACTTCAGAGTAATGGAACTGTGAAGCAATAGCAGCAGGACACTAAAAATGTATATAAAGTAAAGTTAACAGAGTTGTCAGTGTTTAAGGGAAACACACACAGCCACTCTTCCGTTCTGTAAGAATGTATACCGTTCAAACTATCGTCTACGATGTTTTTTGGATTAACGTACCGTACACGTTTTTCTAAAAGCAATTCACGTTTTTGTTATAATTAAGATGCATTGAACGACGACAAACATCCGTAACTGATCACAGTGCTGAAAAACAGCTGTTGAACAAGTAAAACAAAAAGTTTAGGGAAGTGTAGAAGGTATAGCAAGCACGAAGAATAAAACCATGTCAGTAAAACTGCTACTTGACAAGGAAAAAACCCAAGCAAAATTAGCTAAAAAAGGTTTACGATCGATATCTGAATGCGTGAATGAAGCATAAAGCACAGAACTTCAAAATCAGAAATTTTTTTACTTGAACCAAAATCTTCAATCTGAAAACTAAAACTACAGACGTGAAGTAAATTCACATTTCAGACGTCTCAGTAGAGATAAATAAATGTTGCTGCTGAGGATGATTATAAGTAAAAAAAAAAAAACACTGCAGAGCTTCAAAACTTTACAAAAAAGCGACGCTTATGAAAAACACTCATAAAAATGTCTAAAATATAAATTCCTGATTTAAAAAAATTAGAAAGAAAAATTCCGCACTAATACAGGAAGTTTAAATGCACCTAGTTGGGTTTGAAGGAATCCAGTAAAAATGCTTTACTGCAAATGGAATGCTGCCAAAAATTATGATATCACGACTAAAGGCGGGAACAAAGCAACGGAATATTGGCGACGTCATATATAAATTATATATGATAAATGGCATGGTGCCAAGCTTCTATTTAAAACGCGGGAATCAGCTGACTCTCGTCGGCAGTAGTTGGTCTGACCGAATCTGAAGTGTTCCGATGCGTAAACAAATCAATTTTTCCCGTATTTCTTCACATCACCATTACTGATAATTCATTCGTCATTTATGCAAATTGTTTTTTTGGTTTCTACCTTAAGTTAACAACAAACAAAATATC